ACATAAAATTAATTAATTAAAATAAACATCCAAAAAAATATTTGTTTCTGAATGTAAAATTAAAAGTATATATAGGTCATCATTGCTAGCACTATAGCAGTCATTCAACATGAAGAAGGAACCCAAACTTAGCATCAGTGTCATGCAAATAAGCTAACATTTTGTACATTTCTCTCTGTGAAGATAGTCAAGTGTTCACTTCATGACTCTTTCCATTTCTTCCTTAGTGTTACACCTCAGCATATCTTCTCATCAGCCATTTACTTCTTTCATCTTCAATATTATATTCTTTAACAGAGACCAAGACCTTCAAGTGACTCACTAACCAACATGTCTTTTTCATTATCAAAATGATCTTAAGAGAGACTTGAAATCCAGGGCAGAATCCTGAAGTTCAGGCCAGGATCCTGAACTTCAGGATCCTGGCCTGAACTTCAGGATTGTAGGCTCTTAAATACAGTCAACACAAATTAGTACTTTGTTCCAAAATTTATGCTAAGTGAGAAAATCATAATTCAACAGGCTGTTGTTCAGCTGCCTTGCATCACTTCTTGTCTCATTGGTCTTTTTCACTGTCTATAATATCTTGGAGAACTTCACAGACTTCCCTACGTCTGTCCTTGCACTCCACCTGGTTTTGGACTCACCCAGACAATAATATTTTTAAGCTTTCTTCTGTGCTATGTTAAATAAAAGAAAAGCACAGAGTTCCTCAATGGTTCCAGAAAACATGATCATCATTGTATCCAGTTTGGCTGTATGTACTGTACAGTACACTCAAGTTGAATGAGTGATTATTGAAATTCACAAACACTGCCAAGTTGTTTTTCTCACTTATTCTTTGACGAACATAATTAACTTTTTTATCTAACCATCACAGAGGCATTGTCATAGCATTGTGACTGACAATTTTATAGCTCTATTATATCATTCTCTATCTGTTTCAAGATACCTTCAAATCAAGCACATAGCATTCTTCTGGCTTATATGGATAAAACCAAGGAAAAAGTCTAAAAATCAATTTCCACATACTTAACTACTACTGACATCTGCTTAAGGTGTGACAGACCAAAGCCAAACATGAGACCACACCGTTACAAATGCTTCTTAGTAAACTCTAGTAAACAGTGTATGCCATCATTTGGAGGAATTTGTTCTAGACATCTGATGATAGATAAGATGTCAATCCAGAATAACTTTCCATAGGTTAAATGTTTTTTACAATAACGTTAAAGATTTCCAGTAGTTTCAGTAAGCCAAGAAAATTTATCACACTGAAATTAATGTCTAGCCTGGCTTTGTGAAATACAAGGAAGTGAGTCCTTGTATTTCACAAAGCCAGGCTGTGTTGTGAGGAATTTTATGTTATAAAGGATTCTCATCAAGATATGCCACTTCTCTATCTGTGACAACAATAAGTCTTGGGGTGAAGTATAGTGTTAAATAAAAAATTTTTTTCTCTTAATTTAATCTGTTGGCCCTTTTGTTTTTTATGCCAATCTACAGACTTGAAATTTTTTAAGCCTCCAGAAGTCAGAGAAGAAAGGAGAATTATTTTTCCATGTACTTGTTAATAGTACAATTGGGTAAAAACAATAACTCTGTTTTCAGATAAATTTCTTTCTATTTCTTTCCACTATATGAAATCACTCCCAATGATTATTAGTGTTTTCATGATTATTAATCCTATCAAGTGCTTTCCACACTTTTCTGCTCTAATTGGATTTAAGGTCTGATAAGAAATAGAGAAGAATACATATACAATATGCATACTTTAGAAGGGAAATATACCAATCATAAGCAAGTAACTTCCTCACCATTACCATTTCCCAATTCCCTCTTAAACCAAGTTTCCTACCAACAAATAACTGCTCCAAGTAACAACTTGAAGCAGTTATTTGTTGGTAGGAAAGGCCCTCTTACTGTTCTGGAAATACTTCAAATGAAATTCTCTAAACAAACCAAGCAGGACTGCTTTTCTATTATCCTTTGAAATATTAGTTGGGAGGGTTTCTTACAGAGGGTGCTGATTAAAGCCACTTTACTAGGTAACATACCCATTGTATCATGTTGCCATCTGTTGGAAAATATGAAAAAATTTACCTTTACTTCAATTGATATATTAATTATATTCAGAGAAAATACATCAGAGACCTAATAAATTTAATGCACTTTTCAGCATCATAATAGTTTCAAAAGAAGAATATTTCTTATGTAAATAAGAATAAAATATATAAATAGTTTTTTGAATAATTAAAATAATTTATTACTTTTATTTACATATATAAACATTAAATACAAAATAATATAAACAGTAAACATATTGTTAGGTTGTTGATCTCATTAAAAGGCATGAGGACAACCAATATCCTTCATAAACAGGCACTAACAGAGTATAACAGGCCTTCTAGATTATTTTAGCACATTAAATTATAGTTTCCAGACAGAATTATTTAATACAGTGGTACCTTGCACTTTGAATGACTAACTTCAAATGCTTGAGTTCAAATGTTAAATTTGACAAAAATTTGCTTGAGTTTGAACAATGCTTCAAAGTTCAAACTGGACATGGAATAAAAATTGCACTGAAAGCATAAAACAAGCTTCTGAACAAAGAATATAATCTCAAATTATCAATAATGTATTAAAATTCATAAATATCATAATTAAATTGCACACACATCTACATTAAGTAATGACAACTGTTAAAAATATACAAAAACTTTCTGTTCAGCCTTTACTTATTAATTAATCACAGCATTCGAGAAATATGTGGAAGAAACAAGTCTAACTAGTAAGAGGAAGGCTCAAAAAGGGCTACCATGAAAAAGGAACTTATTGCAAAGCATGAAAGCAGCACATGTGTGGCAAATCTGGTAGCCATGATTAATGCCAAAGTAGATGGTGTGCAATCAGTAAATGCAATTTTCATTTTATTATATATTATTTATGTATTTCATTTATTGTTTGTGTTTTAATTTATTATTAGGGCATTCAATTATATTTTTACCTTAAATTATGTGTGTTTGCATTTTAAGTTTATCAAAACAGGTATTGTTTAGGGTCTGGAAATGGATTAACTCACTTTCCATTATTTCTAATGGGAAAAACTGCTTCAGACTTTGAATGATTCAGAGTTCAAACAGTTGTCTGGAATGAATTAAATTTGAAATATAAGGCACCACTATATAAAATTTATAAATATATATATACACCCTTATCAAACTTCGGAAGTCCAAAGTCACACTGTTTAATCATTTCTGGTATGACAATTTGAGGCTCTTTTACCATCTAGATCACTAGGTCCAACATTATCAGGTTCAATCTTATCAACATGCTCATCTACCACCTTCTATTCCTGTAATGTCATGTCATGTCTGCTGCACTCTATGATGTGGCAGCCTCACTCTTAATCTTGTCATCTCAGATTTATCTGACTTCCTCCTTGGATTGTGATGCATTTTTACTTGTTTCATCCTCGGATTCTATCAAAGTTGTGGCTGGCACAGACAACCCCATAGAACATGTTGAACTTACTCAATTTTGTCCACTTTCTCACACTTATCTGAACAAATACAATCTATTTTTACTTTTCTGCCTTTATATATATATAATAGTCTAACTTCAAATTAAAATAAATAATAAATTTTTGTTATATATTACTATTAAAATAATTTTTTTAGATTTTAAAATAATATAATAAATTTGGCAAGTATTTGAGTAAATGTTAACTTGTTTTCAAAATATTCATATATATTTTTAAAATATGTTACTATATATATATATATATATATACGTNAATATTTTGAAAACAAGTTAACATTTACTCAAATACTTGCCAAATTTATTATATTATTTTAAAATCTAAAAAAAATTATTTCAATAATAATATATAACAAAAATTTATTATTTATTTTAATTTGAAGTTAAGTTAGACTATTTACAAAATAGTCTAACTTCAAATTAAAATATTGAAGAATATCCTGAGTTAACATTTTATATGTGAATTTATTATTTATTGTAATTTAGTATAAATTTCTAAGCCATGTTCAGATTGTGTGATTCTCTTGAACAGTCTGAATGAGCTTTGGAAATTTATATTAAAATATGATAAATGCCCAGTATCCTTGTCAATATTCTTATTCTAGAAGAAAATATCATCTCTTTTCATCATTAAGATCATCATCTTTTTTCTTCAATGTAAATAATTTTTTTGGATTTAAAAGATGTAGACTATGAATTGTTAAAATGTTTCTTCACAGATGTATTAAAAAGAATAAAATCTTTTTTTACTATCCAAACACTGCTTTTATGACTAATAGGAACTGCTCAGTGGCACTCAAGGCACATGTCCTACCTGTCATACCTTAGATACCACTCATTATGACTATCTGTTTGCAGTGCAAACAAAGTGCTAGTAAAGTTACTTCCTATATGAAAAATTCTATCAAATGAAATTTTTCTATCAACTGAAATTGAGTTAAACATTTAAAATAGCTTCATTTTACAATACTCAGTTTCTTCTATGTTAATCTGATATTTAAATAGAAAAAATTCCAATTTTATTAAATTTTTAAAAGTATACACTTACGGACTGTTTTCTGGTAATTCAATATTTCCATTTAATACAGCTAATGCTATACTATCTCCTCTTTCATATGCTGGTTCAAATGGTGAATGAAAATAACACATTGCATAAAGACAACAACCTAAAGACTGTAAAAGAAAAATAATATTAAATGTTATTAAATTTTTTAAGAAGTCTTATTAAATTTCAATTCAAAACTTAATTAGAAATTTAAAAAAATAAATACCAATAAATGAACTATTTTATTTTATAATTATATGAATTCAATTACAGGTTGAATGTCACTAATCTACAAGCTTGGGCTAGAAAGATGCCAGAGCAGTGGATTTTCCAAACCACTGAAGCTTAAAGTAAAAAATAGCAATATAGTAATATCTGTATACTGAGTAATAGAATAAGCTACCTTAAGTTGTGGCAGACAAACAATACAGGCTACTGGTAGTGTCACAATTTCAATGTTGCCAGATTGCAGATAATTAGTTGATTTAAGGATAATGTGAGGTGATATTGGATTTTTTAGAAAATCTGCTAAATTTTTCAGTATAAGTATTTAAAAATCACAAAAAAATTAAATTGGCTACTTTTCGTTTGAACAAAACATAAAAATACAAAAAGACAGGCTGTAATCTATGATCAGTGTTTCTCAAACTTTTTGCTCACATGACCCAATATATTTGTTTGTAATGTTTCCACGATCAAAACATTTATAATATAAAATTTTTAAAAAACCTGGTAAACTAGACTCACTGTATATTATATAACAAAATAAAATTATGCATTATTGATGATAATTTCTACATGTGAAATGTAACATTGAGTACATTTCTATTAATTAAAAGTGGTTCAGGCCAATTTCAATTTGTAACAAATAATTTTTTTCAATTTCAGTTTGTAAGATTTTGTCAATTTCATTTTGTATAAACACAAAAAATTCCTTAAAAATTATTTATTGGTCCACTTGTATCAAAATTTATCCATTATTTATTTTGTATAATTTATTGTTATTTATGACAACAAACAATGAAATATTTTCAAAACCATTGCAACTTATATGGTTTTATAAGTAAAACATTATATAAAATATGTTTTGATGTTATTCAAAATAGAAAAGGGAAATCAATTTCATACACAGATATTCTATAAACTTAATTTTGTCACTGGATAATAATAATTATAAGAAAAAAACAGATAAACAGATTAATAGATGCATCTACCTTGTATTGTTCCTAATTCTTACAGAACATTTCAATAATACAAGTATTACAAGTATTTATGTGAAAGGTAGTATCATTTTGCAACCCCACTATTGGGTTGTGACCCATAGCTTGAGAAATACTGATCTATGACAACCTTTGGCAGATGATGTTTTCTTTTTTACTTCTCCTTTGTTATGTATAACAAAGGTAAAGTATGGCAATCAGTTAAAAAAATGACCCCCCCATATTTTCATATTTTTAGACTCAGGAGACCTTGAAACATTGAGAAATGCAAAAACATATTTTTGGCATTTTTTTTCTGATTTATGGATGTTTGTGTGCATGTGAGGGCATAATTTTGTTCACCTACTTCAAAGCTTAATAACTTCTGTGTCATTTGTCAAAAATGTTTAAAATATTTCAGATAAATTTATGTATTAGGGGGATTGATTTTATTCAATTTGGTGGTTAAAGGTCAGGGTGCTGAGAGAGTGAGGGGGTTTCATGTCATATTTGAAGTGGATTGGACTTAATGAAGATTTTACTCATTATTAGTACTTACAATTTGTTTTTTTATAAAACTCATCTCTACCCTCAAAATTAAGCTTTTTGCTATTTTATTATATTTAATAATATAAAAAGTTTCTTAAATAAAATATAATAACAGCTGGTACCATCATAATTTTAAATACTTTTGCCAGGGAAGTTACAAAACTTGTTGCTGGACTTTTATCATTTTAATATCAGAATCAAGCTCTTACATTACATAGCTACAGATAATTTTGGATATGACAGCATCCTGCAACTGGATAATTTCAGTTTTTCATAATGGCAACATTGCACAGCTGGCCTAGAAGCAATTAACAAATTAATGACTGCTAAATTCAAATCACCGTCCTGAAGCTATATCCCAAACCATCAGAATTTCCAGACTAGTGAATCTTACATTAGTGAGATTCAACCTGTATAAGGTTTATGCTCAGCAAAAATTTAGGTGATTTAGTGAATAGATTCAACCTGTATAATCAATAATTTAATTTTAATACTGTAATTACAGCAATTCCATATTTAATCTACTATATAAAGCTGAAAAACTGGGTTCTGTCACGTTATGCCAAAAACAGCCACTAGNAATATAAAAGTGAAAGCAATCAGAGAAACTAAAACCATGCAAAAGAATATACAGGGTATTTCAATAAAATGATTGTTTTTATAAACAACAACACAGATATTTGTTTTAATTAGAAAAAATTACAAACACATCAATTGCACCCTTAAACACTGCCATTTATGAAACAAATGCAGTTACATTCATTGTCTTGAATATTATAACTTGCAGGTGACCAACCCACCTTGACAACATTTATACTCAATCAGTCTTCAATGCAGATTAACAATTTCTCATTCCAATATTTCAATAAGAATATTGTTGATTTTCATACAGACATATTTTAGCTTATCAGTAGTATATGGCTAACTTGTATACATCTTGCTTTTAAGGAGCCCCTCAAGAAGTAATTATAAACAGATAAGTCTGGTGACCTGGGGAGCTATAAAATGTCTCTATTTCTAGATATTAAGCTGAATGAGTTTGCACATTGTCAATAAAATTGTGCCTGAATATTGCATCCTGAAACATTTTAAACATTGTTATTTGTGAAACAACTGCTAATACTTTCATATCTTGAATATTGCATTCTGAAGGTGATATATAAATCAATGTATAAAATGCATAAAAGTTGAAAGACTTTTATGCAATTTATGACATCATAAAAATTAATATTACTTAAAAATTTATTTGTAACTTTTCAGAATACTTTAAATAATTTTTAAAATTTACACAAAAAATAAAAGCAAATTTATATAATTAATAACAAATAATTTTGTAATTATTAAAATAAAAGATCTTAATTAATAATTATATCTAATTACTAGCAAATAAGCCTGGCATTGCTCAGGCAAAAAGTAACGATAGCAAAGTTAAGGTTATTACATTATAGCCAATCTTACCCATGTTCACAGAATGCAAGAATTAGTCCCCCTGTTTCCAGATTAATTAGAGAACTTTCAGATGGTTCTAAAAATACGTTTGATTTCCCACAAAAATGCAAAAAAATGCATCTGTGCCTGTTAATCGTGCATGCCACTTTCTTTTAACACTTCCATTCTTAACAACCTCACCTCTGTGGGGGAAATTACAAAAAATCTCTTCTTAGTGTATGCACCCTATTAAAACGCAAAAAACTGCATCTAAAATAGTACAGTAGAAGCATAGTTCTTCAGGGTAAGCCTTAATCCTCTCCGTCTCCCCAATGGGAGGAATTTAAAAAAATCCCTTTTCAGTGTACATTCTCGTGATGTACCCTAACTGTGTACCAAATTTCAACATTCAACTTCTAACTGTTTGGGCTCTGCGCTTATTATTATTATTATTATCAACCATCTCTAGTATATACGTAGTACGATCCAAAAGTTCGGGGACTTGGCTTAAAATTCCTTACCTTAAAAAGTTTATATTGCCGATGCACAATCATCTTTAAAGTAATCACCTTGGGCAACGATACACTTTTGCCAGCGCTTGTATAACTTCTGGAAGCACTGCTGGAAGCCATTTTTTTAAACCTCCCATAAGGCCTCCTGCAATGCTGCTCTCACCTCATATGATGACACAAAATGGCATCCCTGCAAATGCTTTTTCATTGATGGGAACAAATAAAAATCTCACGGGGCTAAGTTTGGTGAATAGGTGAGATGTGGAAGCACATTAATTTGAGTGTTGGCGAGAAACTGTGTGACCATTTGGGACCGATGTGCAGGTGCATTGTCATACAGAAGGTATCAGTCTCCACTTTGCCAGATCTGTGGCCATTTATGACGAATGCATTCCCTCAAACGACATAAAATGTCTAGATAATGCTCCTTGTTTACTGTTCTGCCTTCGGGAATAAATTCTGAATGAACAATTCCTTGAGAATCAAAAACACCTCCATCATGATTTTTCCTTTGCTTGGTGCATGTTAAGATCTTCTGTTAAAATACGCTGGCAACTAGTCTTTGATAAGTGAGTAGCCGCAGCAATTTTTTCAAGGGTTTGGCGACGATATTTGTGAACACATTGAGAGACCAACTCAACATTTTCCTCATTCCATGAAGTCGAAGGTCGGCCAGAGCATTCATCGTCTGTGATGGATTCTCGGCCCTCTTTAAAATGCCGATGCCATTTGTACACCTTTGATTTCGCCATGGTAAAATCACTGTACACCTTTCTTAGCAATTTTAAAGTCTCCGTAGGTGTTTTATCTAAACACTGACAAAATTTAATGTTGCAGCTCCTCTTGAAACTCCATTTTTATTACATCACAGAACAATGGTAACTATCTCCAGAAGAAAACAGCAGCGCTTGCAGTTTAATCATGTGACATGGGCAAAACCAACCTGAACATGTAGGAAAGGTTTGATAGAATCAATTTCATACGCTGTAACTTCAAATACATGCTTTTGTTGTCATATATTACTGCAGTCCCCAAACTTTTGGATTGTACCATGTATATAGATACTATATCTATAGTATATCTATTAATTATACTATATCTAACTATTATAATCAAAATAACAAATTATTTAAAAAATAATATTTTTTAAAATAAAACTTAATTACCCAGATATCAACTCTTTCATCAACTGTTGAGTAACTTTCTACATGAAATAATTCTGGTGCTCGATAAGGCATTGAACATTTTTCAGCTGCTAGATCCTACAAAATTATGAAAAGCATAATTAATTAATCTGATTTAAACTTTAATAAAAAATTATTATTATTATTAAGCAGTCAGCTATCTTTAATTCAAATACCAAGAAGAATCAAGAAAAGTTCAAATTATCCATTTTTTAAAATTAAAGTAGTTTTCATGCAAATTTCTGGTGTTCAGCAGTATTCCACATTGTTTGGCAATACAGTGGAACCTGGTTAACTCAAACTGAGATAACTCAAAGTCATTTTCTTTTCCCAATTGTCTTAGTATAGGAATTTGCATGGTAAATCAAACTGGTTTATCTTGAATTCATCAAACTGTTTTAACTTGAATGGGATTTGGATACAGTATTTTCATAAACCCTCTGAAATTTTAACTTAAATAAAAAATTAACATTCATCTATCAAATAAACTAATCAAATAAACTAATCATCTATATGGCATGGAAACCAAGTACAACTAAAAATAATCATCATATCATGTGATGGCAGGCATGTGGGATAGTGGCTTCCAGACAGCTTGTGACCTAGATACTGTAACTGCCATTCAAACCTGCTTTTTTCAAATATTTTTTGTTTTATTTGATTGGTGATGGATTTCTCTGACTAGCTGATGTAATAAATGAATGGATTGCTGATAAAAGGATCAATTCTAGGAATAGAAGTAAATGGATCAACCATTCAGAAAAGTATTTCTCAGTAGATTACAGTCGACCCCCCTATAACGTACGTTCTAATAACGACAATTCCTATAACGTAACGAAAAAATTGTACAAACTCTCGTAAAACATACCTCCCATAACGTCGTTTCGCGACAAGATTGATAGAGTCTGGACCAATAGTGGATGAGCAGCCGAACTACTTTCCTCCGACCCTGCGCCACGCTACGGAGCGGCTAAATTGAGTTTGCTATCGTCTGTTTAGTATTATATATAAATTATATATAAATTAGGTACTGTACATATAATTATATATTAATTATATATAAATTAGCTACTGTATATATAATTATATATTAACTTAATTTATTGTAAGTTTATTATAATTATATATATGCTTTCTGCCACCTGGCAACACGCTACGGAGATTTAAGCTAGTAAGTTGAGTTTGTTATCGTCTGCACAGTATGTAAATTAGGTACCGTAAGTCTAATACAGCACTAATTTTATACATTTCTTGTGAAAGAAACACTTCTTATTCAACGTCCATAAAAATTATTTATATTAATGATGTCTCCAAAGGTAAAGTTATTTTTCCGCCAAAAATTCGTTATCAGAAATTGCGGCCGTCGTTTCGCGTGCTGTTCCGCGATGAAAACCAGCTTTAAGCAACGGCGTAGTCGAACGGTGTAAGTAATCCTAAAATTTTTTGTTTATAGCATAGTTTGTACGGATTACTCCCAAAAAATTATACGTGTTTTGGAAATGTTGAGTGGAATTAGTCTAGAATCGGTTAATTTTATAGAAGAAAACCTTTCGAACAGCCTTAGTCCGTAAAGTTCCCACCTATCGGGCTGCGATTGGCTCACTCCTACAACGTAATTTTCGGTTAGCGTGGAACGTATCTAAGCGTTATAGGGGGGTCTACTGTATTTAACCATTCAGTTAAGCATTTGAGTTTATGGACAATACCCAGAGATTAACATCAACATAATGATTCTATGTACACTCATTGCCATAAAAATCAGCACATCAAGGAGTTGTCATATCACTGCAAAACTTAGCATGCTGATAAGTCTCAAGTACATATGTGTGAGTTCTGAATAGCCCTGGGTCTAAACCAGTAATTTTATTAATAATGTTAAATATTGTCATAAAATATTATTTCATTTTTGTGAGAAAAATAATGTTTTAACGTGGGAAAAGGCAGATAACAGATGTTACTTCCTTTGAGGGAAGTTCGTAATCCTCTGTTTTTCCCTTATCCGCTAAAAATCTCGCTCAGATGGGAACTGTCCACCCCTCTTTGATTCCCCTTTCATCCGTTCACATGAAAGAGTTTCTAGCAGATGATTGGTCATAAATCCTGAGATATAGAGGAAATTTGTCAGAATTCAGGGAGTTCATCGACAGATCTGGAAGTGTCCGGACTCCACACATGTTTTCCTCCTGATGACCAACGCCCTTAGACGAGTCACATAGAATAATTCCCGAGTTAGCACTTAGAAGTTATACTTTGATTTTGTGCACATATCGATCTCCCATGGAAAGAAGTAAATGAACTTTATCTCCAAAGTGTCCCTTGCCTACAGAGAAGAAGACGAACGACAACTAAACCAGGTTGTATGTTTTATAACGATTTTGTGAGCTCTCTCTCTCGATCGCGCATCGGGTATAGTATAAGTCCATATATCTCTCGACGTGTATCTTAATTGTAGTAGTTATAACATTCCTTCATTTAATATTTTGTATTAGTTTTTATTTTCTTACGTCTTATTAAATTTATTGTTGTTTGTTTATCAAAAGAAATGACTCTTAATTTGTGTATGAATCAGATCTCATACGCGTGTTTGTCCGCGGAATTAAATTGACAAACTGGTGTCTAGGAATCCTGACATAGATCTGGACTTCGCAGTCTAGATCGGTTTCGCGTATTAACCGCCCTCCTATAAAAAGTTACGAGAGCCGATCTCACGATCGAGCGCCCGTAAGTGGCATAACTTTGATTACGTCCTTGGCTATCTCACATATGGAAATGATTAGAGTTATAATGTGTTGTCTCATTGCATAATGCCAACAGAGGGCATTAAACTGCATCCCTCTTGGCCTATAAAAAAGCACACAAAAGCATCCTGTTTGTAGTTTACCTGTTGCCAAAGAACATTATTTCACAAGAGATGCTTTTATGTTGTAATTGAAGACCATACGAGCAACTAACTGTGTTTGAGAGGAAAAGGATAGTCAGGTTAAGAGAAGCCAGATGGTCATCTTGCCAAAAAGCCATTCTGACAACACTGTGAGTAGCTCTTGCAACCAGTGGATGAGAGAGAATTCATACACATGGTGTCCAGATCCAAGATGCTCTCAGCAGACCACTAGCCAAGAGGACTGCCTGGTCCTCCAACAAGTATGCACACATCCAACCATATTGTTTGGCATCCAGACACAGTTGGCATCATCATTACAGGCCCATGTCTGTCCAAACCATTTGAGGCATCTGAGTGAGGAACATTTGGTATTACAGCAGCCATTACACATGCTGTCATTGACATCACCCACTGTCACTTCTGTTTGGAGTAGTGTTGCTCCCGATGGGATTGGACCACAGCAAAATGGAACAGAGTCATCTACAGCAACAACCAGATTCAGTGTGAGGCACTGATGTGTGCATGTCTGAAGGTCCTGTGGTAAACATCTCAATCCTACCTATGCTTTGGAGTGGCACACTGTCCCTGTTGAGTAACTTTCTACATGAAATAATTCTGGTGCTCGATAAGGCATTGAACATTTTTCAGCTGCTAGATCCTACAAAATTATGAAAAGCATAATTAATTAATCTGATTTAAACTTTAATAAAAAATTATTATTATTATTAAGCAGTCAGCTATCTTTAATTCAAATACCAAGAAGAATCAAGAAAAGTTCAAATTATCCATTTTTTAAAATTAAAGTAGTTTTCATGCAAATTTCTGGTGTTCAGCAGTATTCCACATTGTTTGGCAATACAGTGGAACCTGGTTAACTCAAACTGAGATAACTCAAAGTCATTTTCTTTTCCCAATTGTCTTAGTATAGGAATTTGCATGGTAAATCAAACTGGTTTATCTTGAATTCATCAAACTGTTTTAACTTGAATGGGATTTGGATACAGTATTTTCATAAACCCTCTGAAATTTTAACTTAAATAAAAAATTAACGTTCATCTATCAAATAAACTAATCAGAAACTTTCTATATGGCATGGAAACCAAGTACAACTAAAAATAATCATCATATCATGTGATGGCAGGCATGTATATTGTTAGGTTGTTGATCTCATTAAAAGGCATGAGGACAACCAATATCCTTCATAAACAGGCACTAACAGAGTATAACAGGCCTTCTAGATTATTTTAGCACATTAAATTATAGTTTCCAGACAGAATTATTTAATACAGTGGTACCTTGCACTTTGAATGACTAACTTCAAATGCTTGAGTTCAAATGTTAAATTTGACAAAAATTTGCTTGAGTTTGAACAATGCTTCAAAGTTCAAACTGGACATGGAATAAAAATTGCACTGAAAGCATAAAACAAGCTTCTGAACAAAGAATATAATCTCAAATTATCAATAATGTATTAAAATTCATAAATATCATAATTAAATTGCACACACATCTACATTAAGTAATGACAACTGTTAAAAATATACAAAAACTTTCTGTTCAGCCTTTACTTATTAATTAATCACAGCATTCGAGAAATATGTGGAAGAAAGAAGTCTAACTAGTAAGAGGAAGGCTCAAAAAGGGCTACCATGAAAAAGGAACTTATTGCAAAGCATGAAAGCAGCACATGTGTGGCAAATCTGGTAGCCATGATTAATGCCAAAGTAGATGGTGTGCAATCAGTAAATGCAATTTTCATTTTATTATATATTATTTATGTATTTCATTTATTGTTTGTGTTTTAATTTATTATTAGGGCATTCAATTATATTTTTACCTTAAATTATGTGTGTTTGCATTTTAAGTTTATCAAAACAGGTATTGTTTAGGGTCTGGAAATGGATTAACTCACTTTCCATTATTTCTAATGGGAAAAACTGCTTCAGACTTTGAATGATTCAGAGTTCAAACAGTTGTCTGGAATGAATTAAATTTGAAATATAAGGCACCACTATATAAAATTTATAAATATATATATACACCCTTATCAAACTTCGGAAGTCCAAAGTCACACTGTTTAATCATTTCTGGTATGACAATTTGAGGCTCTTTTACCATCTAGATCACTAGGTCCAACATTATCAGGTTCAATCTTATCAACATGCTCATCTACCACCTTCTATTCCTGTAATGTCATGTCATGTCTGCTGCACTCTATGATGTGGCAGCCTCACTCTTAATCTTGTCATCTCAGATTTATCTGACTTCCTCCTTGGATTGTGATGCATTTTTACTTGTTTCATCCTCGGATTCTATCAAAGTTGTGGCTGGCACAGACAACCCCATAGAACATGTTGAACTTACTCAATTTTGTCCACTTTCTCACACTTATCTGAACAAATACAATCTATTTTTACTTTTCTGCCTTTATATATATATAATAGTCTAACTTCAAATTAAAATAAATAATAAATTTTTGTTATATATTACTATTAAAATAATTTTTTTAGATTTTAAAATAATATAATAAATTTGGCAAGTATTTGAGTAAATGTTAACTTGTTTTCAAAATATTCATATATATTTTTAAAATATGTTACTATATATATATATATATATATACGTNTATGGAAATGATTAGAGTTATAATGTGTTGTCTCATTGCATAATGCCAACAGAGGGCATTAAACTGCATCCCTCTTGGCCTATAAAAAAGCACACAAAAGCATCCTGTTTGTAGTTTACCTGTTGCCAAAGAACATTATTTCACAAGAGATGCTTTTATGTTGTAATTGAAGACCATACGAGCAACTAACTGTGTTTGAGAGGAAAAGGATAGTCAGGTTAAGAGAAGCCAGATGGTCATCTTGCCAAAAAGCCATTCTGACAACACTGTGAGTAGCTCTTGCAACCAGTGGATGAGAGAGAATTCATACACATGGTGTCCAGATCCAAGATGCTCTCAGCAGACCACTAGCCAAGAGGACTGCCTGGTCCTCCAACAAGTATGCACACATCCAACCATATTGTTTGGCATCCAGACACAGTTGGCATCATCATTACAGGCCCATGTCTGTCCAAACCATTTGAGGCATCTGAGTGAGGAACATTTGGTATTACAGCAGCCATTACACATGCTGTCATTGACATCACCCACTGTCACTTCTGTTTGGAGTAGTGTTGCTCCCGATGGGATTGGACCACAGCAAAATGGAACAGAGTCATCTACAGCAACAACCAGATTCAGTGTGAGGCACTGATGTGTGCATGTCTGAAGGTCCTGTGGTAAACATCTCAATCCTACCTATGCTTTGGAGTGGCACACTGTCCCCACAGCTAGTACGATGGTCTGGGGGTGCCATCAAATATGACAGCTGGTCATCTCTAGTAGTGATCCAAAGGCCCATGACAGTCCAGCGATATGTTAGCAACATCCTGCAGCCGCATGGGTTGCCTCTCATGACAGGCTCCCAAGAGCCATTTTCCAACAGGACAATGTTCAACCACACATAGTAAGGGTGTTGCAGGACTGCATCTGCTACATCTTGGCCTGCCTATTCCCAATTTGTCACTGATTGAACATTTCTGGGATCACCTAGAATGCCAAGTTAGACAGCTTAGGGGTTTGGCTAAACTAAAGAACTGCTTGCAGCAACTGTGGACTGAGATGCCACAGGACACCATACGGCTCCTGCATGCCTCCATGCCTGCCTATATCACATCATGTATTCATGCTAGAGGTGGTCCAACAAAGTACTAGAACCTCCTTTCATTTGTAGTTTTTCCTACAATAAATGATACTTTTGCTTTCATTTTGTAATCATTTACTTATATCACCATTACACTCAAACATGTACAGTACGATTTCATTTGATTCTGATAACTCCTTCTTAATGCATTAATTTTTATGGCAATGAGTGTAATGAGACCTATATAAATATCATATAGATAGTTTATTATTATGGATATGAACAAAATCTTGAATTTTAGCCAAACATCCCTAACTTGAAACTTTTTAACTCAAAGTTTGAATTTTTTTTCAACTGATTCAAGTTAACCAGGTTCCACTGTATTATATTTTCTCTTCACTTTCTTTTCCACTTCTTTAAATCATTTCAACATTTAAGTTAAAGATTAAACTGGGTACATTCTATGTTTAGATATCATAAAAATATAATTAAACAATTCTATCTAGAAACAAATGTCAGTAAAATTGTAAATTTATTGGCAAAACTGTTGCTAGAACAAGCATTATAGAAATTCCCAAAACACATATTCCATAAACCAGACCACATGCTACTTTCTTTTTTTAAGTTTCATATTCAACATATAAATTATAGTAGCTTTTATCTATCAAAAAACTTATACCAAAAATTTCTAATTAACTGTATTTTTTAACACTAAATAAAATATGAATTTTAAGAAAAATATGGGCAGATTCAAATTATTCAAGTTCAAATTACCCAGATTTAACTGTATATATTAACTTTGTTTATTTGTAGTTATTTATTTGTTTATATGTAGTTACTATATTTCATACATATAGTATCAATAACTATTTTAGTAGTATTTTAATATACATTTATAAAATCTACTTTTAATACAAAATATTTGACTATTATTCCAATTATTGCCAATAACGTATCAAACTTAATCTTCACATTAAATCAAAAATCCTGAAATACTTTTATCTGTAGAAACTCTGTGATAATATAAGGAAAAAATTTATAAGTTAATATATCTCAAAATATCTTTTGAATAAATTATATATTATTAGATAATTTTTAAAAGTTTTCTCAAAGAACTATCTCATCATGTCATCCTATCTCCCGTAAAATGGATCAGTTAGTACTGACTAAGTGCAATCTCTCATTGTGCCCGATATACAAAAGAAAGAAGTCTGCCATGACAAACATCACTTCATGTATGGGACATTGAATACTCTCTGCTTTGTCAACACAAAAGTTTCAATAAAGTTTCTAATACTTAATTGTTAATATCATAATTAAAACAATTTGTAATCTTCAACTGAAAGAAATACAGTAATTAATTTTCTTATTAAATGTGGAAAAATCATTTTAAGAATCAGAAATCACAACAATATTTGTTCAATTCTGATTACTGGAAAATGTTTGATTTTTCTGATTCTCAATTTTTATTCATCATCCCATCACTAATAAAAACCATTCAATATATCAATACAGAAAATATGCTCCTGAATTAAATGTGTTAAAATACAACTGAAACTTCAAGAAAACCTATTAATTAAGATCATATCTTTAAGAGATTTACTTCAAGAGAAAACTATCTTGACTATTAAAATTAATTATTAAAATTTCTATATTCTTTTTTTACATATTAATAAAATAAATAATTAAAATTATTCATCAAAATAAACATGAGAAAAATGAATAAATATCAAAGAGAATAATTATAAGCATACAATCAAACAGTTACTGTAAAATAGTTTGTAATTACGATATTGTAATGTTTAATACATATCAGAAAAGTCATCTATGCTTTAATACAGATACTATAAATTTTGTGTAATGTAACAAATTTGTATCCTTGTTATACTGATGATAAAATAAAGGCACAAAGTAACTCCACCATAGTTTATACTTCAAATAAAAATAGTTTTATATTTATTATTTCTTGTAATTCAGTAAAAATAAAAATTTTAATACTTGCAAAGCACGGGCATCTGCTGACTTTTTCAATTCAATTCTTGCTTTCCCCATTGAACCAAAATCCATCCACACTGGTCTATCATCATCTCCAAGCAAAACATTGGCTGGTTTTACATCTCTATAAAACAAACAAGCAATAATAAAATTATTATATATAAAATTTATAATTTGTATTATAATAAATTAAAACATTAACAACTAACATTATTGAAATTATTGTTACATAACTATATCAGCACATGAGAAAAGCATAAACTTACATCAAAGACAAAACATGTAAGTTTATGCTCACAAGCATGTCCAGAGGGAAATTGCCCTGGGCCTGATATACTTTTTTTTCATATATCTCCTTTACTTTAATATATTAATTGAATTTGCTATAGGACCTCAATATGTATTTTTTCCCAGGTTTCTGTTACCTTCTGGGCAGCCCTCAATTGACCATACTAAGATATACTATTAAACATAAAATAAATGGTCTTCAGTGTAAAATCACAACTGAAACAAAAACAGTGTTGTTTACAAGATTTTACTTGCAAATACTAAGCACTTTTGATAATTAACACATTATCAACATCAAGTAAACAAACATAAATGGAATAAGAACTAAAGACAATTTATTTTGTGTGTAAAATTTAAATTCTAAATACTAAAACAAACTAATTCACAGCTGCTGAGTAAAGTAAACACACTTCAACAACTGTAAAACACAGCAAAATTTTAATAACTATAATGTTTTGTACCTTATATAACTTTTATTTTCTTTATTTTTGTATTTGTTATAGTTATATGTATTTAACTACTCACCACACCGAATTAATGATAATGATGCACTTCAGAACCAATTACGGTGTGATGAAAAACATTGAAAAAAACAAACATTTTTGAACCCCTTCTGGGCTCTGCATCAGGTTCTTAACTGTTCCTAGATAGTTATTCGATTATGAAATGACGTTTAAATAAGAGTTCGATTATAAGTTTGAAAAACTTTATAAAAAAACCATGTTGCGCATGCACAATAAGTCAATCTGCCCAAACACAATGAGCAGCTAGAGCAAGTTGTGAATCAACTCCTGTCGGGCCAATGACAAAACCATCTCATCTTTAAAATTTATGCACATAGCTGTGATGCTGGATTTAAAAATGTGCATAGCCTCTAACCATTTGAGGTGTTTAGTGGGAGGTGTAGTGAAGAGATTGGCCTGGTAAAAGCAAGCTTCTATGTCAGGATCTGTTGCATAAGTAGCAAAGGCCGTGGAGGTTCTTTCATGATGAATATCCACCTGATGTTCTTGTATTCTGATGTCCGTAGAACATTTAGTAGAGCCTACATATATCAGGTTACATTTAGTAGAGCCTGCATACATCAGGTTCTTAACCATTTCATCGAGGAATGGTTAAGAACCTGATGGAGAGCCCAGAAGAAGTGCAAAAATGTTTGTTTTTTCAATGTTTTTATCACACCGTAATTGGTTCCAAGTGCATCATTATATGTATTTATGTTTAGTATTGATTTTACTTTGTTATGTTACTATTTTTCTTATTTTTTGTTATTATTTTTCAAATAATTTCACAGCTGTGCATTCTTTTTATGATTGCTTAACAGTCCTATTGCAATGTTTAAAATTTGTGTTCTAGAACATTGACATTTTAAATGATGTATGGCATTCTGTTGTACTTTACTTGAGGAAGATTGTTAAAAATGATCAAAAACATTATAGTTATTAAATTTTTGCTGTGTTTTAAGGTTGTTGAAGTGTATTTAGTAAAACAAATAAATTAATTTTAATGTTATCACTTTTTATATAGAATTATGTTACATAACTTGTACTTTGAACAACCAATGAATAATGAGAAAACTAATCTATAGTACAGATTTAGTTTTATTCAATTCAAAAATTATAATCAGTCAAATCATAATTTGTTAATTTAATATTAAAAAAATCTATAAATACTTTTAATTGAATTCTGAAATAATGAAATAAAAAAAGTAATGTTATCGTCTTTTTAGAAGCTGCTAGATTTTCATTCAGGATAATCCTTCATAAGCAAATCAAATACTTAAAACACTTTTTTTGTTGTTTATTAGAGATGCACAGTAAACCTTTTAGGTTTTATCTCATTTCTCAGCAATAACAACCACTATAAACAGACAGAATACTGTAAACATATAACTAAAATCAGTTATTTGTTGTTTTTTTAATAATAGTTGACTAATTATAGAATAAATTGTAGTTTTTGGCCATTTCAAATTTAAGCCTCTTTAATAAGAATTCTATAAAAGCTATTCTAGAAATACTACACGGCAGTATTTAATACAAATTTCTACTGTCAGTAAAAATTCTACAGGTTTTTCTTTTCTCACATATGGCCCATCTATACAATTTTGCATTTTCATAAAACAAGACTCATTCTGGATTAAACAATTGATGTTTGTAATTTCTAGATGTTAGCAGTAAAAAAACTATTAAAAGAAAAACCCCAAATTCATCAATAAGTGTGAGGATGAGTGAGGTCCAGTCACCTTCTGTCTCACTGAGGATGGCCATTATTTATCTATAGAATCAGTAAGATCTCCAGAGTCAGGAACCTGATACCAGTTAGGATAAAATTAGTTGCATCCTAACTCACGAGAAAATTATTTTACTTCTGACTAGCTAAAGATATTTAGAATCAACCAGAATTTAAGGAGGATTTGTCTTAAACATTAAATGGCATGGTTTACGTGGGTCAATGATGGAGTTAGACATTAAATCAAATGGAAATACAATACATCAGAAATATATCTATTTATTTAAACATAACTATATCTATTATCTATTCATAAAGGAGTACTTTAATTTAACATAAGAACGAAAATTAGTAGTATTGATATAAACACAAATGAGAGAACTTCAAATTTATCCCACTAAACTAGTCTGAGAAAAAGAAAGTTTACATAAATAATTATCATATTACCTTGTATCAAAGAGTCGTTGGGATAAGCAGAGATGATGAACTGGGAGAAGGATAAGTGTGTTTACAAGAGTGAAGTACAGAAAGAGCGTCAACCAAACAAGAGCAAATTGGAAGGTCATTTTTGACCTATTATGCTGTATTTCGTCCAATAGAATTATTGGAAAATTGCACCACACTTCCAATGCGTGGCGGAAGTTTGGCAGTCTTATGGATAGAAAAGTGAGATATTGCACTTGAACTATCACTTTCAAAGGAACTAAATGGTTTTCTCTCCGTGAGAAAAGGGAGTTCCTGTTTTAACTTAGATAATTTTTCTATCAACTTAATTTTAAAATTTTAAACAACCCAAAGCGTGCTCAGCAGAAAATAATAAACTATAACTAAATCAACACCTGTTCACTCGCTGAGAGATTTATTCTTAACAAATTACACAATTTATTTGTTATATTTTTATTTATAATTTTAGCAGCATTTGTATTAATTATATTATTTAAAAACGTTATTTTGCTGTTAGTAATATATTGGTTATCCGTTATTAATATTTATATTTTTTGTATTTTGAACTTGTTGTTCTATTTTTTGAAATGTTCTAATTTACCTGACGATGATCCATTGATTGGATTGAAAACGTTTGTGTTAAGAATAAATCTCTCAGCGAGTGAACAGGTGTTGATTTAGTTATAGTTTAAAATTTTATTTTAACAAATTTGTTAAAATATCTCCTCTTAACTGGAAATTTTTAACATAACAGAAAGATTAAATCATAATCAGCAAACGTTTTTATGGAAACATTCACAAACTATGTAAACTATTTGAAGGGGGTAGGGGTAATCAGTAGCTATTACAGATCACTAAAATGCAGAGCCAGTCCTTTATTTGAAAATAACGGCAATGATTAGGTTTATTGCTCCTTATCTCTGTTGAAACATTTAAAACTACATTTATTTATTTACTGAATTTAATTTTAGTTTAAAAGAAACTTTGAATGTAATGTAATATTTAATATAATTTTATTGAAGTTTATATCATCAACTTATATTAAAAGTAATACAAAACTATATTACAATACATTAATAAAAATACTGTAAATAACAATAGAATTAAAACTTTATTTGGTGTGCTTGTTCCTTAAATTGCTATACAATTTCCTGAAAATTTAAGTTATGGGCTGTTTGATTTTCTATAGTTAATGACGAGCCCAAATAAATGTTCCTGACTTATAGAGGATCAGTGATATATACACCGATCCTCTATAAGTCAGGTATATATCAGTGTTAATTCTATATTTTTTAGTTGTTCTATGCATTTATAAAGAGGCAAAAATATAATGTATTTGTTTCATACAGCATGTTGAACAAGAAATAAGAAAGAGGTATGTTTTTAAAACAAATTTTATTATAGTTTTATAATTTTATAACATTGTAAAACTAATATAATTCTGTAGCTGACAGAAGAGGCACAAAAGCCCAAAATGTATAATATATCAACACCTAAACATCAAAATAAAGATGGATATAAATTAAAGCCTGGTGTCTATCAAAAGCACTTCATTGTGCAAAACAAATAAACATAATTAATTATTATTTTCCAATTGAAATTATTATTCATTATTAATTTATATTATTCATTTTTATGCTGTCATGATACTTATTTTAAGATTACTTTATAATAATAATAATCTTTCTTAAAAATGAAAAATCTGTCTTCTGTTTGTCTAATAATTTTCCGTGTCTTCAGCATATTACAATAAGCCTGGATGAAATTAGCCTGACTGAGTGTACTTTCTTAATTACCTAAAGCTGTGTGAACTGATTGCAAAGCACATAAGAAATGTCAAGCTGAATAGCAAATCTAATATGATTTTTCAATTTGCCAGGCTCACCACTGTAAAATGAAAAAACCCTTTACAATGAGCTAGATTTCCAATTTGCCTACAACATAAACAAATCCTAAATAACTTCACCTCTAACAAAATAACAGCATGTCACATTCAAAAAGTATGGGTTGCATCATGCATAGATCCAGAGTTATCATTTTTTAATAAATTTTAAAAATTCTATGGAAATGTTTATTTTTGTAAAAATCTTGCTTTATTACTTAAACCTAACATTGCAAATGTTCAGGAGGAAGTTGATATAAATTTTATCTACTGTCTAACTT